AATCTAATTAAAATATGGCATGGTTGTGATAAATGACTGGTTTCGTTTCATTGTGAAAATATAGTTTTATATAAATTCTTTTCAAACCAAGTTGTTTAAGGAAATAATTAAAAGATCTATGCTTACGTTATGTGCCTAACATGTTTAAATAGGTTGCTGAACAGCTGAGTGGTGGATTTTCTGATCGCGTACGCCAGGCAAGTTAATTGGACTCAGTATCCCTGTCGTTTACTTCAATCTTAAATCACCAGTCAGGTTGCCTAAAATGTGTCGATATTGCAGCTAGATGAAAGTTCCGACAGAAAGAGGTCGAATAAGTTAAACATTGTTTTGATGTTCACAATGCAATGTCAACTTGCACAAGAAATTACAACCCAAATTTATAAATCCATACTGTGTTTGAAGTACTGAAAAACATTTTGTTTTATGTTGTTTCAAAACATTATGTGTATATATATATTAGTGATTAGTATTCAAGAATGAAAGTTTGTAAATGGCAATATTGAACAGGACTTCATGCAAACACTCTGCTGTTATCTAAGTTATAACATTATGTAAGATGCGTGACTTTTGCTATGTATTTTTATATTCTTTCTTCGTTCGATACAACTCAATCTGTTGTTGTAATTGTTTGTTACAAAAATTCAGTACGTAAAAAATATCGAAATATGTTGCCTTCATGTGAACATATTGTAAGACAACCATTATAGCGTATTATTTCCTAGTTTTATTTAAGCTTTCTACGCTTTCGCCGTTTTGCTATGTAATGGAATTTTGTTTCTGTCTGGGCAGACAAAACGTACTTAACCGTTGTTTCAACGTAATGCTACTGCATTTTTTACCTGTTTGTTTATATTTCGGTAAAGTTATGTAACGTTATCCATAGTGTATGAAAATGTAAAAAACGTATGTTGAAACCATAGTCACTGTGGCATTTTGATAATTTGTCCACGCAATGTAAGCCGCAGTCTGCGTAAGTAACCGTAGTGAATGATATTGAGTAACAGATCCACAGCGTTTCAAAACGTAATAATTTGAAATCAATAATTATCGATTTTTACGAATATAGCTGGACAAATTAAAGTTTCGTTCTTTGCAACTAATTGCTTCAGAATTTGACTTATACAGAAAACTTGAAAACATATTTTAAATTAATTGATACAGGAAAATCACATAGTTGGTATCTTAAATTAATGTGTTTTTGTAATTAATTAAAATTGTTATTCATAATTGATTTTATTATGTGATTATATAAACATTTTCCTTTGTCATAATATAGTAATAAAATGGACATTAAGCAAATGTTTCTGAAGATCTTTTTTTCAAAACTCGTAGTGAAATGAATGTAAGTACATGTCAAAGTGAGCAAATCATTTAGACATCAAACAAAAAACGGTGGCCTTCCTACGCTCAATGGGCATGGCTTTCAGGAAGGCTATTTTTCATACCGTTTAATTACGTTATGGACGTCCTATGTGTATAGCCAGTGGTTTTTGAGAGATCGAATTTTCCATACGTTTCATTCCGCTAGGTCCGTCGAAAGGATATCTCAACATTGATAGAGAAAGGATTGTGCTACATGTTTTACATTGATATTGTGTGTTTTGCTCTTAAAATGCTTAAAATAAATAGTACATAAAAAATATAATTAAATGTAAAAAATGGGTCAAAGACAGAAATGGCCGATCTGCATTTGTATACCAAACATTATTATTGACAATTATTGTCGAAAATTTTACAGAGACGGTAAATATGAGTAGATGAGCGACTACCTGAAATCGAATCCCTCGTTATGATACCCACTGTTATTGCTGTATGCCAAATATCAAGATGCTGCGATGAGTTGTTGCTGCGAAAACTGTTATGAACCTTTCCTGCCATGGCGGTTACCTTGGTACCTTCAATGTAACACGTCAGATTTAATTTTAATGCGGCATGTGGTCCCCAATTCAAATAAAAGAAAAAAAGCATTCGGGCAAAACTAGATAACAAAATAGTCTGAAATTATCAAATCCACTTTAACCAATTAAGAGTGAATCATAAATCTATTAACAGGATTTGTAAAATTTTTAAGTTTAGTTGAAATCTTGATACAGACCGTTGTCTTAACGCATGTCAAATTTGTCACCAAATTCAATGCCTGGTAGAAACATTCATATTTTTTTCACCTTAGCATATATGGATTCCATGATTTAATGCTTCAGTATGTATCTGACCCCAAAGAAACACATCCTTATCATCATTCCTAAAGAAAAACACATCAAACACGGTGCTTTCAATACAAACCTTTTTAGGTATCTTTAAGGGAAATTATTAAAAGTTTAAGCTAGGCAGAATTATGCTTATTTGACACTGCTCTACCTTTGACTAGTATCTATCACAAAGTCAAGTTTCAATAAAATTAAATTGACAATTTAGAAATTATACTTTTGACAAACATTTTTTTAAGTCTCATAAAGAGAGATAATTAAATTCAAAATAAGTCTACATTTTGCATTGGATATTATCTGCACTATAACGTTCAATTTATAAATGGAGTGGAGCAGACGTTTTATATTATTATGTATATGTTAAATGTTATTAGTACGTATTTACAAAATTAAATTGGTTAGGCGCGACGCAGCTAATGACTGAGCTAAGTAAAGATATGTATATATAACGTCATGATGTACTCGGAAGTATGATATATGCCATAGTCATTATTTAACAAACTAACATGGCCTTGGCGGCAATATGCAAGTTAACGGACTAGTTTGCAAGAGTACGAAAGGTATATGGCCTGAAGCGCAGCTCAGGGCCATATACCTTCCGAGGTCTGACCAACCAATCAGTAAACTTGCAGTTTTCCAAAAGGCCATGTTATATTTGTTATATTGTACCAAATCTAAATCATTTCAGTCATTTTCACTTTAATTTGCTTTTAAATAATAATTTTATATGCTCAGTGTGTGAAATATATCAAACTCTAGTCGGATTTTTAAAAATTATTTTCAAGCGATTCAGCAAAAATTATGCTCTTCTTTTTGTTAGTCAAATTTTGACAGTTTGACAATATCGTCTGATTGTATTGTCGTAAAATTCGCACGACGTGAAAGTCGCGTTTAAATAGTCTGTCAAGAATTATGGACAGGGTAGCCGGTCTGTATGCGATTGATGGACTGGGTGACATCATATTAAATATAGAAGGGCGTATTCAAATGAGGTATAATATAAAACCTTAAACTTCTGAATTTCTTAAATTTAAGGCACTGTTGTATTTTCAATTTTGGAGATATTATGATGAATATTTTGAGTTATTTAGCTTACAATGTAGAAACTGATCGGACTTCATTGGTATACAGACTAGTGGCAAAGGCATCCGTGTTCTGGTCCAATCAGGGTAAAAGTTAACATTTTGTGGCTGAGTGGTTGCCTTTAATGGTAAATGCATTTGAATTGCAGTCACCGTTTATCCCTGTGTTATCGTAAGAGGAGACTTAATGCGTCCGAATTACTGAAGTATATATGTATCTCTTAACTCCAGCGGATGAGGTGATTTGACCCCTGGTATTGAATAGAAGTTTGTAACACAAGGGCGTAGCCAAAATAATCTTTCCTGTTTCGGCACCCTACGACCTATACTGTGTTTGAGCGCCGAAAAACCAAATAAACAAACGGTTAATATCTATATCACGGACAAACCTTAAATGGAGGGATGTGATTTGTTGCAGAAAAAGCGAGAGTTAAACTTCAATATGCGCAGTTTGAGCTCCTGACACTTTATGCGGTATCTGTTTATTATCGCATGGTTTTGAGCTTTTCTTTTTTCTTTCTAACCCGTTATACTCTGTACATTCCGATTAAGGATTTGAAAACTGTATTGATATAAGAGCAGGTTGAACAGAGTAATGCTCCGCGAACAGGTTTTGGACACAGAGAAACTACTTCCTGTTGGTATCTCTTGTAGTTTCAGTGATATGTTCTGGACAAAGCTCACAGTGTACAAATGAACAAGGCAATAACTCAAAAATAAGGCAAGGCAGGGTAATGTTTCTGTTGTAACGCACATCTATTCAATGAGATCAATCTACCTACAATGTTTCTTGTTGATACCGCTTGTTTTGTCATACTCCCTGACAAGAACAATAACTCCATGGCATAGTAACGGTATTTTAACATTGTATATCTACCCAATGAGATATATCTACCTACAAAGTTGATTTCTCCCATAGTTTAAGAGTTCTGTCCCGGACAAAGATCAAAGTGTGAAAATGATTGAAAGCCGATAACTCGAAATTAGGCAAGGCATAGTCACGGTGCCTTTGCTCTGCACATTAACCCAATGAGATCTATCTACACATAAAATTTCTTGATATATCTTAATTGTTATAATCCTTTTTTTGACAACAGCAAAAACAACTTTAAACGCCTGAGCTCACTGACTTAGTATATATAGCTAGGTCCCGTACACAGCATTAGCTGGTATTGGTTCATTTTATCTCGGTTTTCAACAAAAGTGAAAGGGCACAAGACATGCAAGAGAGGGAAATGCACATACTAATTTTTTTATTAATTTATGAAACAAAAATAATGAAATTGCGATAAAACAGTTATAATATATGAAATTGCGATAAAACAGTTATAATATATGAAATTCGTAAAACAGTCATATATATTAAACACAGAATTTTTCTGCAAAACAAAAATCGTCTCGGCCTGACGGACTCGACATTTTTTTTGGAAGAAACATCCCTAGATGTCGCCCCAGCCACTGTTATACCCCCGTAACTAATTTGTTTCATATACTATAACTATTAAATAGATTCAGAAAGTCGCCAATCAAACATACATTTGGTTAATGATATATATGTCTCTTGTCTGAATTTTATTTCTGTAGTGATTTAACATGTAAGACATAAACCAAACCAATGACTAGTGTGATTGAGCGGGTAAAGCGCATAAAATGTACATCACATTGTTTTCTAATACAAAATATAGTAAAACATTAAACAGACAAACAATTTATAGTTTAGAATGCTTTATTATGATACACATAGTGAATTCAGCTGAAAGAGTAGATGATTTCTATAAAGAGAGTAACACATTTTTCCGGGTCCGTTATAGATTTATCTGGCCGTGTAGTATTGTCTTCAATTCAACATCAACGATGCATATCACTCCCGATCTTGTCCATCTTAACGTCATCAACTTTGACGTCATCAACTGAAAGAAGAATTAAAATAATAATAATAATAATAATAATAATAATAATAATAATAATAATAATAATGATGATGATGATGGTGATGATGATGATGATGATAGTGATGTGGAAAAAATAAATAAAAGTTGTTTAGAATGAACCAAAAACGACAAAGTCAATATACATTTATATCACATTACTGTGCCGCTTTTGCGGTTCCGTAAAAATGGTATTGCGAGGCCGTGCATATATTTTGACGTGACGTCATTTACGTTATACAAACATAGCGTTAAGATGCTCGAATTGTAAGCGTTATACTATACGTGCGCCAATGAAAACTGTTTCTTAATCACTGAATTTATTCTCAAGAGGCTGGCATAAAATAATTTAATATTAAACTTACACCCATTTAATATCCTCTATGTATTTGTGACATATGGAACACACAATAAAAAAAACATGTAACATGACGTCATGTAACGTCACTGGCTGACAAAGTGGCAAATACTAGATACTGTATGATAGAGTAGATAAAATGTTAAACCATTGCCGATCAGCGATACGTGTTACGTGTTGAAATTTCTAAGAATGTCTTCTGCATTCAAGCCTAGTTCTAGTATGTCGATTTAAAAAAGTTAACACTAGGCTATCAAATGGCATGACTTATTGAAAATGTTACCGCACAAGCAAATATAGCAACTATACCTGCACGCCTCTTCCTGTCGTCATCTGTAAAACAATGAAAAATAAATTGTCTTTAAATTGGTTTTGAAATGTGTCCCTTGTAGTGAATCTTGATTTATTATAATGATTTAGAAGATTTAAGCCTATATTTCAAAGGAAAAGTGAGCAATAATGGTATCTTGTTAACATTGGCGCTTATGTTTTTCTTCCATAAATGCAGGGGCAGTGTGATTCCGGGCTTGAAAAAAAGCATTTTGATTAAGTGGTAGCCAAAATGATCACAAATTTATCGGGAGGAAAACAATTTGTCATGAAAAGTGGTCCTGGCATTTCCCGGAGAAAATATCAAATCTAGTATAATATTAGCGAAATATGTCTTTATTTACTGCTAGTTTGGTTGCTATGTGTTACCACGGCCGTTGAAGAAAAACTATGAAACATTTGCAAGAAATAAATCATATCAATATAACAGAGAACAAGCATTTGCAACCGAATTTTTTATCTACAGCTAGCACATTGTCCTCGTTTTTGTCAATAAAATATATCACAACTACCGAGTAAAAATGTATATCTTTGGCGGAAGTTATAAGAAGAAAGCATTTTCTATGCACAGTACTTATACTTTATCTAATTGGCGATTTAAATATCATCCGCAAAGTTTTATTAACAATATTCTTTATTATTTTTTTTCTATAACACGCTTATAGACAATTCTTTTGATAACATTACTGTAACAGTGAAAATATACAAGATGTAAAAAAAATAAAAAATATAATGATCTACAAGAGCACATGATGCAAAGATTAAAACACACTGTGTTAGAAAATGTATGGAAACAAATTAATTTAATGAAACTACTATTCAACATGATTGCAATGATTTTTGAAGAAAAGCTCCATAATCTTGCAACATAATACATCTGAAGAAGATATAGACCTTATTTAAAATTAGATTTCACTTTTGAAAATTAGCTGCAATGTTTTCACTAAAGCCTACGCTACTCACGACAATATTGCGTCTGGTCTTCCAATCATGAAGTATACTTACAGGCAAAACTATACGAATGTACTCTTTTATTTTCGTCATAATGACTAAAAACCAATAATAATAGTAATATAAGGAAAACTTACTTGTTGATGAAGATTCAGCTGATGATGGTGCAGAACCACCTGCTTCTGTACTGACAATAAACAATGCGCACAAAGCAATTATTATTAAAATCTTCTTTTCCATCTTAGAAAGGTTTTACCACAGCACAGTTTGACGAAGGTAGTACAAAATATATCAATGTGAAACAGTGTTTGCATCGTTGCAATTTATAGTTACAGCTTGGTCCTTCATTTACATTTTCGCAAAGATGCTTATCCGAGATAGTTGGCTTTACATGAGGGTTGATCTATAATCATTCATTTTAATAATATTACATCCATAATCATTTTATATAGTATAACATGTGTCTAAAATTTAACAAAACGCATAAAATTGTAATGAATTGAAGCGTCAACTTATTTTTGCAACATTCGGCTAAGTAAATGATCTTAACATTAGCATAAAACTGTTTTGTCATTATTTTTATTAGTATTGTGAGTAGGTGTAGTAGCAGTCACAGCAGCAGCAGCAGTATTAGGCTTCTGTGGTTGCATGTTTGCGAGTCAGTTGCGATAAATACTGGCTTACATCAAACCAAAAGAAAGATAAAAAACCTACAAAAACAAATTTTAAGATGATTTTATTCCGTTTGATTGTTTGCTTGAAGTTATTTTTTATGTTCCTTTTTCTTTGATCGTGTTGTATGTCGCACCAACACTGAATTGCCATATGACGACTATCCAGCGGTACTGGTTGAGAAAGACTTCAGATGCCTCTCTTAATTGTTCAAATCCCAAATTGGAACCAACGTTTCTGTTTCGCGATTGTAATAATTAATTACACCTGGCATTGTTATTAAAGCACGAACAATTTTTTTTCGCAATGATCGGTATGCATTGCCTAATTCTGCTTGGAACGAATATCAATAAAATTGCCTTTGCTACTAATATAAAGCATGCAATTTTGTAAAATGTATTATTCAAAAGATAAGAACATAACTATTCACTGAAAATACTTATGTTATAGATATCACATTAGTTCCAAATTAGTTTGTCACCTGAGCCTTTTATGTTTATATCGTTTATTGTAAATTCCTCATAAGTGCATGTTTGCATGTATTGAGAGAAATAAAGAATATGTAATGTTATTATGTCGGGTTAGCCTGTATATGTGTCTAGTTAGACCAGACTCTACACGGTTGGTTAGTTCTTGTTTGTGTTTTTGATCAAAAGCTTCATCGACTTTAAGCTACAATCGATTGGCAAACAATGATTACATTTGATATGTATTTCAAATATATAATAATAATGTATCATTTTGGATAGTCTTAGAAATATTTGCTTTCAAAAAAGTGTTCAACTTGTTAAACTTCTTAGTGATTGAATTTGAACATTCAATATGATGAACAATGATATTTTGTTCTAGAATAATTATTATCTGCTAAATAAACATATGATATATTACATCATGTATTTAACACTGGCAGACAACATCCGTATATAATTATTTCGTAGCTTATTGTTATATCCGATATTTAATTTTCACATCATAATTATAATTCATTGTATTACTTACCTCCCATTATAGACAAGTTCACTTAAAAATGTAAATGCACCTTTATGATATACTGACAATAAACACATTCTGCAGGTAATGCTTTCACGTTACCTATTTCACATATGCTTAAGGTGATTTGAAAACGTTGGTTACACTTCACGACACAACATTTTCTAACATAAATTGTGTAACGACCCTTTCCAATAATTGAGTTAGAGGGAGAGATTTAATTCTAATAGATAACAAGTCAAGCTTCAGGATATATAGATAACGATGAAATAATTATATAAGTTTAATTTAGAAATACATGCATGTTCATATCAAAGAAATATCTAAAACATCTTTTTACTCGTTTCGTACTAAAGCAGACGGTTGAAGGTACATAATAAATTTATACATTTTTATTTTTAGTCTATAAGCTTTTGTTCAAGACTTTCTTCCATTTCCAAAATAACATGCGGTGTTTCTCAGGGCTTAATCCATGGACCCCTTCTCTTTTTAATTTATGTAAATGATATGTCATCTGTGGTCAAAAATAAATCGCTTTTATATGCTGATGATTCTGGTATCCTTGTATCTGGTAAAAGTTTATCTGTTGTTGAAAAGGCATTTACAGATGATATGGAATTGGTCAGCCAATTGTTGGTGAACAATAATGTGTCATTGCACTTGGGTAAAACCGAGTCAATTTTATTTGGGTCCAGGCAAAAGCTTAGGTCACAATCTAACCTGCATATAACCTGTTCTGGTACATCCATTGAATCAACTTCATCTATGAAGTATCCTGGGATTACTATAGACCAAAATCTGTCATTTTTCTCCATGGCCGAGTCTGTTCCTAAGAAGGCCAACTCTCGGTTAAAATTTCTTTACCGCAAGAAAGAGTTTTATTACTCAGCATACCAAGAAACTTCCTATTCAGTGTCACTATGATTACGCATGCTCTGTTTGGTAAAACATCTTTGTACAGTCTTTAAAAAAGAAGTTACAAACTTGTTAAAATAAAATAATGAGATTTGTAAAAAGTCTCCCCGTACATTTAATCAATGATGTTATATTTTCGATCCTTGAAGATCGTTCAGCACGACATTATTGTTGTGTATACATGTTATGTGATACTTTAAGTTTCTTCTATTGGGCCATTTTCAACTTGGGTGGTTCCTGTATTCCTACTTGAATACTGTATAATCACCCTTAGGATATGTTGCCTGCTTTTTAAATTTGTCTTTTGACGTCTTATCTGTGATATGCAGGCTACATTACCTCAGATCCCCTTTCAAAATCCTATTTTATTTAGTTCCGCCCATCGTTTTCTCGTTTAGGGCAAAAGCATTCTTTCACTTGGGGACCATACGCCGCTTTTCATGGAATGGCATTACTGTGTCACATTGAAGGTTCCATGATAACCGCCGTATGAACACATCTGCGGATGTTTCTAAATTCAATATTTCACCATTCTCGTGTTAAATGTTGAATTCTGCTTTGGCCTGTGCTGGGGGCGTAAACGGTAATTTGCACTTTACAGTACCGTCCATGAACAGGCTCAATCAAACCGAGCCTGCAACATTTTCAATTTTGTTGTGTTGGACTATCTTTAGGGATTCTGTTTTTCTCTATTTTGTACTTGACTTGGATTCCAGAGCCCATATTGACCCATCCCACTTTAAGTCCCTTAGCTGGTTACCGATCCACAGAAGAGTTGAACAGATAATGTTGTGTCATGTTTTTAAGATAAAAATGGCCTGTCTCCGGACTACATGTCTGAACACTTTATTTCGCAAGATGCTATTCATAAATATAGTACAAGACTTAGCCAAAAGGGTGGGTATTGTCTACCTAAGGTCAAAGGTCAGGGTTCTAAATCCTTGGCTTTCTCTGGAATTAAATGATGGAATGATTTACCTGTAGAGTTAACGGAGATCAACAGGTTGCAAAGTTTTATGGTTGCCATCAAAAGTCATCTTATGAACAGTATTTAATTTTTTTACTATGTTTTTACATATTTCGGCTCAGGATTTTAAATTGTCTGCTAATTATCTTTTTACGATTTTAGTAATGTGTTTTAAATCTTAGCTGTAAACAGGAGTGTCATTAACTCAAAATTTGACTGTGATATACATTTTTATGATTTATTAGTATTTTTAAACATTATTATATTAAGGTCTGCCTCTCTATGTCATGCAGTCAATACAAAGGACCACAATGAAAATAAGAGCTTTTTGCCCTTTTTTGTGTTATCCTTGGTGTTGGTGAGCATATCATAGTTTTCTCGTATGTGATATAGTATTAAATAATGCTCATTATGTTATCCTATGTTATGTTGTCAACTATGTATATGCTTCCTATGCCGAAATAAATCTATCTAGTATATATACTGTTATGCATTATCAAAACATATAGAATCGTCACGTTTTCACTTAGCTTCAATAGTTTGACTATTATAATTGAACAGTGTACTAAATTGTTATCTTGGTACATACTTCATTAATGTTTGTAAAAAATATTCTACTCAATAATAAAATTTTTCTTCAGTCTGTAGTAAAGGCATTTTCCTTACACTAAATATTTGTAATAAATTTATTGTTAAATATAATTACATGCAATCTAAAAAGTTTCAAAGATTTAGGACAGTTAGTTTGTTGACATATTATTTACCTGTTTTATGTTTGTTGAATTGTCTTATATGTGTATACATATTTAATTTGTTATGTGTTCTTGTTCTGCTCTTCATTTATAAAAGATTTATATTATTTATTTCAAATAAAACTTAACATGCATTTAATATGTATTAAAATACATTGGTGATAAATAAATTTAAAATGTTCTTTAGTAACACAATATGCCTTTTAACAAATATAAAATAATTGTACATGTAAAAAGTTATATATGGAACATAAAGTATGATATGGCTACGGCTTTCATAAAAAAATTATTGGGTATATATTATATGTACATCTTATAATGTTTGCATATCAAATTTGTCAGGTTTAATCCGTACAAGTATAATTAAATTACATAAATTAACATAGGTTTGTTTTTATAATATTTACTGTTATATGTTACATATACACATTTAAAAGGCACTAAACTGTACCAATATTCTAAAAATAATTGATAGTAACTAGCTGTGACAGTAAAAAGAAAACATTGGAACTAGATATACAAAACATATTCACTGAATTCTTCATTACATTTTTTATTTAAATATAATTATAAACCGATACCGGCTTATCATTGTACTATTACATTTACGAGCAATTGCAATTTCGAACAAGAAAATTTGAACAACACTGAGGGGCGTTTGTCTGTTAAATACTGGTTTGCAAATACTTCAACTGTGGTAAGCAAAAAAAAAAGTCCATTTAGTATCAAATTTTTCCTTCCAATTCAAAGTAAGACGAATTTAACTATACGCCTATGGTTAAAGATTTATTATCGATATTTCTATTTAGTGATTTAGAAAGCCGTATAGTGAAAGATCATTTCAGCGATAAGTTTAACTTAACACATACAACAAAATATAAAAAATGCAGCTTCCTGTTGTTTTTTTTATCACCAATCTTCAAATCTATTTCGTCAAATATATGACGGTAAAGGTATATATGTATGTAAATTTGATTCTATCTGAGTAGATATAGGTATTATTTAAAAGCTTTTGC